AAAATGTACTAAGATATAAGGAAAAGTAAAAGTTTCAAGATTCAAGTAATATCTTACATATTATGTGCGATTATTTACTGATTTTTCAGTATTTACTATATTTCTACTGCGTTACTGTAAAGGCTATTTCAACATATTTTGACCACTTTTTGGTACTTTACGTGGTTTGTAAGTGTCATTGATAATGTGTAAATTGTTTCTTTTTTGGTTACTTCACAGTATAACACATTCAAATGCATTTCCAAAGTTTTCATGAAAATAAGCATGAATCTTGAGGCGTGCCGCTTTAAATCTTAACAAAAGAAAATACGAAAAAGGTGAAAAAAAAATATGAATGTTACCTCTGTTGTCAAAGCCAACAGTCTCCCTCCAATCAGTAATATCAGAACACAATATTGAGCAGACACTGGTACACTTAGATAACCAAGCAAAAATCCTGACATCATTCCATAAATCCACAGCGGTAGTACAAAGATGCCTGTTATTGCATATGCTCCAACTGGTGTTTTAAAACCTGAAATCCAAGAATAATCCATGGTAAAATACAGAAAAAATACTGATGGACACTCACTGATGTTGCTTTTACAAAGCTGGAAAAAACATGATCTTACAATGAGGAAAAGAAGAAAAATCAACTTTCAGCCTAAGTGACTTTAATAACCCAAATCAACTGGAAACCACACATAAATGATTCAATAAATACAATGTATATAAAATATCAGTTTAGAAATAATGGTACTATGACAAAAAGAAAGTGAGCTTATTATAGATAAACAGGTAACTAATAACTATAATTTGTTTGTTTGGCCATCACCTTTTTACAAATAGCTGGGAACTCCTGAGCACCTACCTTTGGCCATCACATTTTACAAATAGCTGGGAACTTCTGAGCACCTACCTTTGGCCATCACTATTTTACAAATAAAAATGTAACTTGGTACTTCTGAGCACCTACCTTTGGCCGTCACCACTTTACAAGTAGCTGGAAACCCCTGAGCACCTACCTTTGACCATCAACATTTTACAAATAGCTTGGAACCCCTGAGCACCTACCTTTGGCCATCACTATTTTACAAATAGCTTGGTACTCCTGAGCACCTACCTTTGGCCAACACCACTTTACAAGTAGCTGGAAACCCCTGAGCACCTACCTTTGACCATCACAATTTTACAAATAGCTGGGAACTTCTGAGCACCTACCTTAAATTTGGCCATCATCATTTTCAAATAGCTGAGAACTCTTGAGCTCCTACCTTTGGCCATCATCATTTTACAAATAGATGGGAAGGCCTGAACACCTACCTTTGGCCATCACCATTTTACAGACAGATGGGAACTAAAATCTGAGCACCTACCTTTGGCCATCATCATTTTCAAATAGATGGGAACTCCTGAGCACCTACCTTTGGCCATCACCATTTTCAAATAGCTGAGAACTCTTCAGCTCCTACCTTTGGCCATCATCATTTTACAAATAGATGGGAAGGCCTGAGCACCTACCTTTGGCCATCACCATTTTACAGATAGATGGGAACTAAAATCTGAGCACCTACCTTTGGCCATCACCAGCTTACAAATAGATGGGAACTCCTCATCAGGAATTTTCCAATTAGACCCTCTTGAGTGTGTACACACAAAGGTAAGCCATTCAATCATCATTACAAAATATCCCCACTGAAAAACAGAAACATGTATTGGGTTAGCTTAAAATTTAAACGTCACATGAACATTATGATTAAGGTCATCTTGCAATTTTATGGCGTTACTGCAGTAATAAAAGCATAAACAAACAACTAATGAAACACACTGATTACTCATATGCTAGCTGGATTGTATTTGAGCCAGAATGTATCTTAAACCAAGAATATATTTATTTGTAAATTCAATATAGTAGCTCACTTACTTTTGATATGAAGCACCACAATGCCCCTCTGCTGACCAGGTCAATTAAAACATCAAACTGAGGACAGAAAGCATAGTACTGTTTAGTAATAAACTTATAATCTGGTAAAAAAAAAATAAATGTAATGCAGTTCTGCTAGAAAAGGTTAATAAGAACACATTTACGTGGTTACGACCTTTAACCCTTAACAATAACCTGCTGGAACCGGCACAGAAAGTAAACCTTGATGTTTGCCGCCAGTTTTAAGTCAGGTCAGCAAATATATCTTTACAGTCTGAACAGGCCCTATACTGCTGGTAGTTTATAATTTTTATATTTATAATTGAGCATAAAATTTTGTAATTTACACTGTAAATATCTAGTGTAGAATAAATTTACTCTCTAGGCAACTGTATTACATGTTACTTTGTATTTTTTAGGCAACGGCATATGATTTTTTGGTAGGCCTACTTTTTAGGGAGCTGTATAACACTTTTTGGCAGATGAATCAATACTATTTTTAGTCAATCGTATAATGCAAACACTTACCCATGCACCAAATACAGAAGTTTGATTCAATTTTCTAGCTAGTATTCCATCCAAAGCTGAAAAAAGATTAAAGTTGTCTATTTTATTTACATGAATTTCTTAAGTCATCATTTCATAAAATTATCAACTAAGTTAAAGTTATAATAATCCATGCAACTTATATTACTTACAATATTATCACCACTACCTCTTTCTAAGCATATCTTTCAAGACTGTAACATGTTGGACAAAACTTTGGCTAACTTTAAAAATCACTCGGCCTAATTGCTAAATATTGTTGACTCAACGGATACTGAGATGTAAAACTCTTCTGTCAGTTAAGTGTGATAAAGATATCCAGCTTTAACTTTGAGTCAGTTTGCGAAATGAATTTAAGTAACATAAAATTAAACAAACCGAGAAGTTTGGAAAAGGGACATAACTGTGAAGGGTATAAAGCAGGTGTTCACAGGTGAAAGTCAAAATAAGTTTAAATGTCCCTTTATTATTTTAATTTAAAAATTTACTTTGCACTGACAATGAAAAACTCACATGGCCCAAGGACATTTGTGTATATATACAGGACATTTCTGTAAATATCCAGGACATTTCTGTAAATATCCATAGACAATTAACCTGTAATTTTCAGTTTATAAAAAGAAATTTGGCAGTCTTTTTATAATTAAGGAAGATTGATATTTTATCCTAAACATTTTCTGATATCAATTTTTGGTCAATTACCATTATAACAGTTATTCTTTTTATGAATATTTAGCCAATTCAACTCAACTAGAAAATGAAAAAACAAAGATATATCACTTCAATTAAACTTATCAAATAGGATTAAAGTTGATAAAAGAAAAGCTATTTTTACCATCTAATGCCACTGATACACCATACAAAATCAAGAAGTAGAGTGGTTTATCATAGTAGAATAAACTCGCAACCAGTAGCAAAATGCGCACATAGCCTGAAATAAAGCAACATGACATATTTGTATACACAAACCTTCAATCTTTGAAATAAAAATTTATCCTTGGCAGGAGCTGGCAATATACAGAAAAATATTCCGGGAGTTAAAATATTTCATGTCCCAGCATTAACATAGAATTCTAAGCTCTGTCTCAGTGAAAAGACATTAATTCTGATATTAATATTGAAAAGAAAAAAAATGTTAAGTGCAACTGACTACTAAGTCACAGTGTTTGAAATTAGCAGTAGTCCTATAGCCCCTGACTACTAAATTTCTCCTCGGGCTACCAACTTTTCAAAGTAACAAGTCCGGCCAGACTACTGTATTTTCAGAGGCAATATAAACAACTGTTTTGAACAAATGAATAGTGCTAGTGAAATGTCTTTTGGGCTATTGAATTTTCCAATCTGGTAGTCCGACCAGCCTAGTGGTTTCAAATCCGAATTTCTTACACTCCTAAGACTTAGGAAAGACATAAATTTTAATATTGATTATTGTAGGCTTATATATCTACATTAATTACATAATATTTTTAGACAGATTCAATTCCTTTGTGTAATAAATTAGTGCTGGCCCTTTGAAAATTAAATGACATTATTATAAACAAATTGTGTCTCAGCCAGATATAGTCTCAATGTTTCAACTGCAAGACAGACCAATTTTTCAAACTCATATTACATAGTCTGACTATCCTCTCCCTTACCAGTTCCTACCCTGATGTTTCCTCCCTGACTGTTCTCCCCCTATTTTGGAGGAGAACTGTTGGCATTTGTGCGATATTTGCAGACCGTTCTCCCCAATCTTATTCTTATTAATAGATTGGTATTAATACCTTTTGAAGTTTAATAAATGGGTATTGTCAATTATTAATTTATATAGAAGTTAGCGAAAAAAAGAAATTCTTTTTAGCACTGATTACTACACATTTTGCGCTAATCATTCTGGTCAATTTATTAAATTAGGCTTATGTTTCATTATCTTACATAAACTGCAGGGACTGCCTTTAGCGAGAAGTTGGGTATAAACTTCCCCGAAAATATTTTCACATCGCCCTATATGATCTGAAAAGTGAAATTTTCTGAGTCACCTAAAAATCTCTATTAAAAGTCTGACACGTATATATTTCACCACTCGATAAAACTGCCTAGAGTCAGATTTAATTGTGTAATCTGACGTAATTAGCACAAGCGATGATGCATGGACATAGCGACACTTGAAAACAGTTAATGTATTGTATATTTTGATATATAAGTGTATCAAAACAGTTAATATTTTATGACATAAGTAACCAGAACAGATCTTTATTAATAACCACTTTTAGTTTACCAGCTATTTAAACAAATGAATGGAGTTTTTTTTACTTATCACTAGATATTAATTAGGTGTAACTTACGAGTTAGTTTGAGGACGAATAGATGTTATATAAGAGCTACGTGTATCAAACTGAATACAAATCTGAAAACTATTTTAGATAATAATCAACAAACCAATTATATTTGGTACGTAAAACAAAACTTCATTTCCCATTTTTCGTTGATTTGTTTACACCATTTTCCTTCAGATGTTCTCTAGTGTAGGTAGTCTCCCTTTGATAAACAAAGTGACCGTGAAAATTATTTAATCCGGTAAGTTTTCAGTAAAATTTGAATTTGGATTTACCTGGAAGGCTTTTAATGATATATCTGTTAAGTTTGTTTATTAAACTTTATATCACTTAATTTTTAATAGGCCAGAAATAATCATTATGCACATAAATTGCACCTGTCATGTGTTTTCGCGATTTAGGGGCCCTTTCGGACCACGTATATTTCGGACCAAACATCGGACTGGATTTTTTAATGCAAAATATCAAGAATATAAGTATAATATAATATGTGATAGATATGTTAAAAAAGTGTTACAAAGTTTCTTATTGTTCAAATTTACCCGATGTTGGATCTAAATAAATGTCTAAAAAATTGTAAAGGCCCCTATTTATATTTAAAATCTACTATCATGGATTTATATTAGAGGGATTGGACTCTCCCGGTTAACCCTAATTAAAAATGCTTAAATATCTTGTCGCGCACCCGATAAAGGTACATGGATTGATAATTTACTGGCGCTAAGCGTAAATACCCGTTTGCAATGGATACCTACTTTACAAAATACCATACAGCTTTTCCATTTATTATCCGATTTTGGAAATTTAAAGTTTATTTTGAAGGAAAATACTTGTTTAATTCAAATATCTAAATTATTTTTTAAAGGTACAGTTTATCTGTCCGCAACGACCATTAAAAAAATAACTTGACGAAATCCGCGTTAAATTTACATTTTTTTATGTAAAAAGCAGGTATTTGAAATTTATTATTACGGTAACATAATAAATTCAATTTCAAAATAAAAAAAGAAGCTGATGTAAGTTTTTCACAGATGATAAAAGATGCAATATTTAAGATTTATCAATTGGGTTATGTAGTCAAATTTATTAACACACAATTGTTTTATGGGTAATGTATTGCGGGCTTTACAATTAGCTCAACATGTGAAGAAAATTTACTCATGTTTTTAGTACAAAATATTGCCGAGATTGTCAATTTTGCCATATTCATAGAATATTTAAATTTTATTTATCATTTATGTCATTGTTATTTTTTGTAAATCTGTTTTCAAATGTCAGTGCAGTGAAGTAGACAATCATCGTAACAGGAAAGTCCTCTTGTGTGGCTGTCTCGATTCCGGCCTTTTTAATGTCACTCCTATATTTTAATCTGTATATTTTAATTATTCTTTTTATTTGGATGCCAGTAGAAAGATATTTCTGATATTTTTTAATGTAACGCTAGAAAAACAATAAAAAATCTTTACAGTTTGAGTCAGTATTTTGCGAAATAAAAGTAACTTTTGATTATTTTTTACACATCGCTTAAATTTCTTTCAAGTTTAATTACTTTTGAAGGGGGGTAACTACCAGGTAACACTAATGATAATTGAGAAACTTTATTTTCAAACTTTCATTACCAGGTTACATGTGATAAATGCAACACGCAATCTTCAAAAACAAATAGAATTTGAATGTATATTTTGTATGTGCGCGGTCTTTAACTACAGTCCATGGTATGTATGGAAAGAAAATGATTCTGAAGAGGATATAATATAAATACAATGTAAATCTATTTTCTTTTTTAACATTTATAAATGAAATTGAAAATATACAATTAAATTTGTATAGTCCTTTCTTTGAAAAATAATGAAAATAAACATGTGACAAATAAATCATTTGACGTGAATTGTGAAGGATAACTATGAAAAAAATCTGTTTCAAAATAAAAAATAATATTATAAAACAGCTGTTCTGTATGCCAATAAAAGTTTCTTCCTTGCCAATCTAATGAATTTATCTATATATGAACGCTTGTCTAGAAAGATCTGAAAATAAATTAAATACGCTAATTAGAATATTTACTATATTTATACTAATATACAGGTAATCAAATAAAAAATGTACAAATCATTTGAAAATAATTCACAGAAATAAAGACAAATTTTAAACATGAATTTCTTTAAAAGTTTTTTAGCAATCAAGAAACATTTTTTTGCAATGCCACCATTAACCCTTGTAAAAAATAATTATCTTAATCTGAATCGCGGTAATAATTTGTGCTTGAAGTAAAGGGCGTAAAAGTGTAAAGAGTATGCCTATTGCCTATACAATAGAAGACGGCAGCAGCTACACTATGCTGTACTGATATAAATGTGTTTTTGCGTTACATGTGTAAGACATATGAAGTGTAGGAAATGACTAATGATTATGAAATAGTGTTGATAACGAATAAGAAAAATGAAATGACATCTACTAGTATTATCTATGACAATATTTTTTTCATTCTCAAGGTCAAGACAAAAAGATGTTTTTTCAAAAACTGAAGACTGGTTGTGGTGGATGCCTATGCAAACATCTCTTACAATATCCACAAAGCCAACAGTACAAATTTATTCAAGAAAGACAACTCATGCACAACACAAAAAATATTTTATATAGATTTAATATACAAGGGAGACAAGCAAGGAATATCAAGCAGTTAGTGCAATATTTTTCTACCAATCGACAAGTTTATGGTAGATTGTTGTTAAATGATATATCTAGAGCAAGACATCTTTGTCTGGGTGCAAAGAATGAATTTCATAGGTCAGTGCAATGTTGTGAAAGCCAACAAGAAAAAACAGGTATAGTTGTGTTATTTACCATTAACACTTGTCATATAAGCATTAAATTTGCAGAATTGTTCTGAAAGTTTCTATGAAAGACAAAAAAGATTCCCTTATTTTCTTTTCTTTTTTTTGCAGTATTTTTCACCATATTTCTACTGCGTTACTAACATAGTAAGCAATATTTCTGCATAGTTTGGACTTCTTTTTGGTAATTTACATGGGTTGTAAGTGCTGTTTACGATGTGAAAATTATTTTCTTTGTTCACTTCATAATATTTTACTGTTTAATACTTTTTAGCTCACCTGTCACAAAGTGACAGGGTGAGCTTTTGTGATCGCTTTTCGTCCGGCGTCCGTCCGTCCGGCGTCCGTAAACTTTTACTTTAAATGACATCTCCTCATAAACCACTAGGCCAATTTCATCCAAACTTCACAGGAATGTTCCTTTGGTGGTCACCTTTAAAAATTGTTCAAAGAATTTAATTCCATGCAGAATTCTGGTTGCCATGGCAACCAAAAGAAAAAACTTTAAATATCTTCTTTTAAAAAACCCTAAGAGCTAGAGCTTAGATATTTGGCATGAAACATCTTCTAGTGAGTGTCTACCAAGTTTGTTCAAATAAAAGCCCTGGGGTCAAAATTGGCCCCGTGCCAGGGGGTCATTGATTTTCCCTATATTCATATAGTAAAAACTTAAAAAATCTTCTTTTAAAGAACCCAAAGAGCTAGAGCTAAGATATTTAGCATGAAACATGTTCTAATGAGTGTCTACCAAGTTTGTTCAAATAAAAGCCCTGGGGTCAAAATTGGCCCCGCCCCAGGGGGTCATTGATTTTCCCAATATGCATATAGTAAAAACTTAAAAAATCTTCTTTTAAAGAACTCAAAGAGCTAGAGCTAAGATATTTAGCATGAAACATGTTCTAATGAGTGTCTACCAAGTTTGTTCAAATAAAAGCCCTGGGGTCAAAATTGGCCCCGCCCCGGGGGTCATTGATTTTCCTTATATGTGTATAGCAAAAACTTAAAAAATTTTCTCTGAAAAAACCCAAATAGCTAGAGTTGGGATATAAAGCATGAAACATCTTCTAGTGAGTGTCTACAAAGTTTGTTCAAATAAAAGACCTGGGGTCAAAATTGGCCCGCCCCGGGGGTCATTGATTTTCCTTATATGTGTATAGCCAAAACTTAAAATCTTCTTTGAAAAAACCCAAATAGCTAGAGTTTAGATATTAAGCATGAAACATCTTCTAGTAAGTGTCTACAAAGTTTGTTCAAATAAAAGCCCTGGGGTCAAAACTGGCCCCGCCCCAGGGGTGTCATTGTTTTTAACTATATGTGTATAGTAAAAACTTTAAAAAATCTTCTTTTAAAAAGCCCAATGAGCAAGAGCTTAGATGTTTAGCAAGAAACATCTTCTTATGGGTGTCTACCAAGTTTGTTCAAATAAAAGCCCTGGGGTCAAAATTGGCCCCGCCCCAGGGGGTCATTGATTTTCCCTATATGCATATAGTAAAAACTTAAAAAATCTTCTTTTAAAGAACTCAAAGAGCTAGAGCTAAGATATTTAGCATGAAACATGTTCTAATGAGTGTCTACCAAGTTTGTTCAAATAAAAGCCCTGGGGTCAAAATTGGCTCCGCCCCGGGGGTCATTGATTTTCCTTATATGTGTATAGCAAAATACTTAAAATCTTCTTTGAAAAACCCAAATAGCTAGAGTTTAGATATTAAGCATGAAACATCTTCTAGTGAGTGTCTACCAAGTTTGTTCAAATAAAAGCCCTGGGGTCAAAACCGGCCCCGCCCCAGGGGTGTCATTGTTTTTAACTATAATTTTATGTGTATAGTAAAAACTTAAAAAAATCTTCTTTTAAAAAGCCCAATGAGCTAGAGCTTAGATGTTTAGCATGAAACATCTTCTTATGGGTGGGGTGGGGGGCTATATACAGGTGAGCGACCTCAGGGCCATCATGGCCCTCTTGTTCAAAATTTTCATGAAAATAAGCATGAATCTTGAAACGTGCTGCTTTAAGATGCCCCAAAATTTTATACTTCAGAACGTGAGAAATTGAATGAGGAATACGTAAAGAGACTTAAAGAGACACAGACTAAGTACAAGGACAGGATAAGTCCTAAGCAAATTTTGATTGCAATAGCACTTATCTATGCTGTGGCCTATCTTTTTAAATCCAAACCTGATGGAAAAGGTTCCAAAAACTGGATGGTAAGTAACTTTAGTTATGCTGTATCATCACTCTTTCCGTGTGACTTTTTTTTTAGTCTAATTATAGTAACAATAACTGCTTATGATACCAGTTATAACATATACCTGTGTAACATATTTGTTGTAATGAGAAACTTGGGTTACTTTAATTTAGTCAGGCCAGCATGTCCA